CAACAGGAGGGAGAGACCTGAGTGACATCTTCTTGCAATGAGAAGGAAAGAGAAGTTCAAGAAAGGCAGAAACCAGAGTGGAAGAGCAGAGGGCTGCATCTTGAACCCAAACATCACTGGAAAGAGATGACAGTAGACAAATTAGTCACAGTTTTAGCAAGGGCAGTGACCGGAAGTGGTGATGTGAATGATAATGAACACTTATTCGGGGTTTACGCTGTGCTGGGCTCTATCCTGTGGACTTTACAAACATTAGCTCGTTTAATCTCCCCAATGATACTATGAGGTGGGTGCTGTTATGATTGACCTATTATAGGGAAAGAAACCAAGGCCCAGAGAGGGGTTGTAAGTTGCCTACAGCCACACAGCTGGCAAGTGATGCAGCTTGGCTTAAACTCAGGCAGAGCCACAGTCCTTTATACATCTCCCAGGTTAGTACAGCCACAAGGGTGTGAAGGGGTGGGCGGGAGAACACACATCCTATGATATCCTAAAAGAAAAAACAGCACAGTAGGGGTTTATAAAATACCAAGCAATGTGATCTGTAAAAACAACAGCTCAAAAGTTAAGAGAAAGAAACTTAGTGTTATAGTATTTTTTTTCTATGTTAAGCAGTATGGTATTGTTTGAAGGTGAATAGGAGAATAACTTTTAGAAAGATATTCCTATAGCAACAACTTAAAAAATTCTCTCAAACTATAACTCATAAGCCAATAGTGGAAATAAAATACAATAATAAAAATACTCCCTGTATGCAATACCAGACAAGAAGAAAGGAAAACAGAAAGAGTAGATGGAACAAATAAAAATCAGCTAGAAAGAGGGTAGCTTTAAAGGCAATCCTATAAATAGTTACTATTAATAATGCAAGCATTCTCATTGAAGAGCAGAGAAAATTTCAGGTATATATGTGATAGTTACAAGACACCTAGTTTCTGTATAAAGCCCTAGGTAAGTTTAAAGTAAAAGAATGAGCAAAAGTATAAAAACAAAATCCTAATTAAAGAACGCTAGAGAGATTATGTTTCAATCAGACAGAATATACTTCAAAGTAAGTCATGCAGGATAGAAACATAATGATAAGAGGTCAATTAATAGAGAACAATTAGTTGTACAAGAGTCTAAATATGGTTCCCTGTGATGAGATCACTTCAGAATACATAAAATAAGAAGTAGTAAGTGACCATTAATGGGAATAGAGTTCCTTTTTAGGGTGATAGAAATGTTCTAAAATTAGATAGTAGTGAAAGTTACACGTCTGTAAATACACTGAAAACCACTGAATCGCATACTTTAAGGGGGTGAATTTTTCTGATGTCTGAATTATATCTCAAAAACATCTGTTTGAAAAAGAATGGCTCAACGTCAGTTTCAGATTAAGTTCATCAGCAATAACCTTGGATTCATTATTTACTGATTTAACCAAATTCCAACTTGAATGGATATGGAGCCAGAATACACACACACACACACACACACACACACATGCATGCACACATGCACACACCTTTACGTTCTCCATAATAGTTAGATTCTGAGAATTCCTAACTAAAATTTTATTTTAAAAATAAACAAGCCAGGTATGGTAAGCTACCCAGGATGCTGGAGCAGCAGGATCACAAGTTAAAGGACAGCATGGGCAACTAAGACCCTATCTCAAAATAAAAGAAAAAAATAAGAAGGCTGGGGAGTGGAGTTCAGTGGTAGAACTACTGTGGGCTCAAGCCCCGGTACTGCTAAATAAATAAATAACTTCTCTAACTGAAAGAATTAGGTAAATCTACCCTCCCCTCTCAGTAACTGACAAACAAGTAGATGAAAACTCAGTATGGATATACAATGTTATTGTTACCTGGTTTGGGGGTGCTGGAGTCTCTTTCTAGAGGTGATTTCTAGGTTCTTTTTATCCCGAGCAAAGAGTTTGCCAAGACAAGCACAAACAGTAGTAAGATTGTACATTTATTAAAGCTAAGAAAACACAAGTGCTCTGTGAGCGATTCTGGGCCTAGTAATAAGTAAGTAGACCCTATGGGATAAGAGTAGGCTACCATGAAGAGACACAGTAGTGAGAGCTCAGTGACCATCCTGTTATGTATCTCCCACTCCTGAGGCTCATGCCAGATCTCCACCATCCTGTCAGAAACCTGCTTGAGTCCTCCTGAGCAGTCCACATGCAGGGCTTTAGGAACTTCTCCACACATGTGTCCTCGGATTTTGTAATTAACAGGTTACTTCTACTTTCCCAGCTATCCTTAGCCATGCTGAAATCTCCTGCCTCATCATCAACAAAATTGGCATAAGTAACATTTATAAAATATTCTACCCAACAATAGTAGGGAACACATTGTTTTCAAGGGCACATTCTGGGTCATTAAAAATACTCAACAAATTTAAAAGAATGAATGTTCTCTAGCCACAGCGAATTAAGTTAGAAATTAATAACAGATACTTAGAAAATCACCAGATGTCTTGAAATTAAGCCATACATTTATCAACAACTAATGGATTAAATTTTTTAAAAAAGATACATTACTTTCTTTGGAAATTGATAGCAGAATACCATGGATTGAGTGGCTTACAACAACAGAAATTGATCTCAGAGTCTGGAAGCTGGACATCAGAAATCAAGGTATTGGCAGGGTCGGTTCCTTCTGAGGGTTCTGAGAGAGAATCTCCTCCCTGGTTCTCTTCTCGTTGTCTTTTGCTTGTAGAGCCACTGCTCAGATGTCTGTCTCTGTCTTCACATTGTGGTCTTCCTTTGTGTTCCTCTGTTGAGATTGCCCTCTCTTTATAAGTACAACAGTTACATTGGATGAGGGCCCACTCTATTGGCCTAATCTTGACCCGATTGTATCAGCAAAGACTATCTCAAAGGTCACGATCCCAGGCACAAGAACTTAGGACTTCATCCTTTGATGCAAGGGACATTAGCAAATCTTTAAAGTTTGGCTCGCTGTGGTAGCTGATTGATGGTGTCAACTTGAGTAAATAACACCCAACTAAATTGGCTCAGCGTAACTCCTAGGGAGGATTATCGCTAGAATGCTATAAAAGGGAAATGAAGAAGAAAGGATTGCTTCTCTCTTCTTCAAAGGAGCTCCAGTCCTCACTTCCACCTTGGATGTCCTCTCCTGGCTTCCAGCACACACACTCTTCAGCCTTCTGACACAGAGACCCTCTGGCCTCCTTATACAGACTCTCACGGGACACTGCACGGAGCTCCAGGCCTTCAGCTGGATCCTTCAGACCCCCAGTGCGCAGACTCTGCACTCTTCCACATCCAACTCTGTGGGTGGCCATTGTAAACCAATCTTGTAAGTTCTTATACAGTTGTATATCTTGTTTGACATCTATTTCTGTAGTAAACATCGACTGATACACTCACTAGTGTGATTACGAGAGCTAAGAGGTCGCTGATCTGCCTTCTGCAATCTGGAAAATTACCAAAGCCAGTGAAGTTATTCAGTCCACATTCAAAGGCTGCTGAACCAGGAGCTCCAGCAATCAAGAGTGAGAGAAGCTGGACGTCCCAGCTCAACAGGAGGGAATTTTTGCTCTTCCTCCACCTTTTGGCTCTACTGAGGCCCCGTGGGTGGAACAGTGCACAGGAGAGGGTGAGGCCTCTTTGCTCATCTATCAATGCAGATGCCGGTCTCTTCTGGAAACACCGTCACCAGCACCTTCAGACACATTTCACCAGCTACTCAGCCGGATGGCCCTCGTCAAGTCAAAATGACCCATAAAATTAATCACCCCCTTTGCTCTTGAAAAACATTTAGTGAAATGAATAAAGCTTGAATAAACATCAAGAAAAAAGAGAGAAGACACAAATTATAAATGTCAGGACTAACTGGCTATAACCACAGATCGCAAAGTCATTAAAAGAATAATAAAGGTATATGTGAGCAACTTGATGCCAATAAAATTGCTAACTAGATAGACTGGGATTCCTTAAAAGAGGAAAATTACCAAATCTCATTCAAGAAGAAGTAGATGGCCCAGCCAGGCATAGTGGCACATCCCTATAATCCTAGCACTCAGGAAACTGAGGCAGGAGGATTGCTGTGAGTTTGAGGCCAGCTGGGCTACAAATGAGTTCAAGGCCAGCCTGAACTGCATAGTGAGACCCTGTTTCAAAAAAACAAACCAAAACAACAACAACAAAAAAAAGATGACCCAAATAATCCTATATCTATTACAGAAATTGCATTTATACTTAGAGATGTTTCTGCCAATAGAACTCTAGGTCTGGGTGGCTTCACTGATGGATTCCACCAAAAGCTTCGTGAATAAACATGGATAACATGAAGTTTCTTCATAGAATAGAGAAAGACTATATTCTTAATTATTTTATGAAGATTGCATTTCTTTGGTATATAAGTCAGTCATAGGATGACAAGAAAACTGTGTATGGAACAATGTTCTTTTTTCTGTGGTACTTGAGATTGAAACCAGGGCCTTCACACTGAAACCTAAACCTAGTTTTTAAAACCTAAAAGTCTTCACCACTGTCATGACCCGCACAGCTATCGATGGTCCAAGGGAAAAAAGGGACGGAATGAGGAAAATATAGATGAGAGATGAAAGCCGAGGCAAGGTAGAGGTCTTCTCTTCTGATTAGAGAAGAGGAACTGGACAAGCACTATAG